AACCAGTAATGTTTATCGTCTACATACAGGATCTACCAGAAGGAATAAAGAATTATATGAACATGTTTGATGATGATGGTAAACTACTAAGGAAGATAGGAGTTGTAGACAATTGTCATGCCCTTCAAACTGACCAATATAAAACAAGTGCTTGGAGCACCATGTGGCAAATGGAATTCACTGTTAATGAACGCCATGTCGTGAAACATGGAATAGGAGAACACACACACACACACACACACACACACACACACACACACACACACACACACACACACACACACACACACACACACACACACACACACACACACACACACACCCTACAAACTATGTAGAAAGGAATTAACCACTGCACTGCGCAACGTGCCTTGAGGCGTTTGACGGGGGGTGCGCAATGCGCTTCAGGGATCTCTTAGGCACTGGGGTACTGTACCTCAGTTTAAGAGTTTAATCCATTTCTGGAAACAGCTCATAACCCAAAAACTCCTAAACCAAACCTAATATTTTTAAACCAAACTCAACTATTTTCTTAGGTTGAACCTTACCACTGGCTTTCTTCGGACCCATGGCGAGATATATAACAACTTTTATGCTCAAATGGCCAAAAATCCAACAAAAAACTGTAAATTCTTGTGAAGAATTCAGGCGGGATAGTCACTGGGCGCGAGGCATTGGTAAACTGAGGCGCGATCGCCATGCCACCACGTGCTACGTCGGCCCGTACCTGTATCAACACCATCGTAATCCGATGCAAATTTTACAACCAAATCGGCACGTAACCCGAAAAGCTTGTAAACAGGGACGCTCGTAACCCGGGGTTCCACTGTATAGCGTATTCAAAACTGGTACGCGGTGACGTGGGTATAAAATGGATGCCTGAGGGTTCGTGATCGTCCGTCATTTTGAAAAAAAATCCCAGCATGCCCCAGGGCCGTGGCGCATGAACCTCAGTTCCAAGGAAGCAACCATGTCTGACTCATCGTCTAAGAGCTCCTGGTCCACGGTCAGCCGCAGTCCAGGAAAACGACTTTGAAGATGAAATACATGACATTGTATGATGATTTAGACTACAATCCAGAGAAAGACCTAACACAGAGGTCTGACACGAGTGAGGGGAAGATTGATGTGGAGGAGATCGCGAGTGTATACAGTACACACGCCTCACCCGGCATGCCTCGCCACCCCAGATCAACACCGCTAGTCACCACCACGTGTGTCCTCTGATGAGAGTTTATTTAGCAATAGTACATATGATGAATCATTCTCGGGCTTCAGTGACAAAGGCTCCAATACAAGCAGTGTTGACGAACCGAGTACGAGCAGCGATGGGGTTACTAGGCAGGATTTTGCTGTCGCAGCAAGCAGCAGCATGTCACGCAGCCAGAGGACAATGACGACAGTGTTCCCTCGACATCAGGTGTTCATGGTAAGCCTACACTATGCAGAACATACACCCCCTGGCAAACCTATACGCAACTCTAGCACAAGACAACAGAGCCATGTTTTTAATGCTCCTGGTGATGTTGGCCGTGGTGTTGGCGCCAAAACCAAACCCACAGGTGTACTTAGTGGAAGGATTGTAAGACTTTTGTCTCACAAATTTGGGGGACAAATGCCCCAACATTTGATGGTACCGATGTTGGTGTGACACCGTTATTCCCCTATACAGGTGATATGGCTGAAATAAAACTATTTTATGGAATACTATTTTGATAAGGCATTCATGGACCATCTCGTTGCAAAGACGAACAGATATGCTCACAGCCTCATTGACTTTGGCATTTTACCTGCCTCTTGCATGACACGATGGAGACATGACAAATGAGGAAATGCATGTGTTTTTAGTGTTGAGCATGATGATGAAGCATTCTGAAAAACATGTGATCCAGGATTATTAGAGCAAAGGCCACCTTGTTCCATCCCCGTATTCAACAGGTACATGTCACGTGATAGGTTCCTGCTGCTTCTCAGGTGCCTGCACTTTGAGAACAATGATAATGAAGACAGACAGGACAGATTTTGGAAGGTACAGAAGATTTTTAGTGATATGAGAGGAAAGTTCCATAAGTATTTTGTACCAGGACAGAATGTGGTGATTGATGAATCGCTAGTCCTCTTCAAGGGACGACTGGCGTTCAAGCAGTACCTCCCATCAAAGCGGCACCGGTTTCGACTCAAGTTTTTCGTACTATGTGATTGCGAAACTGGTATTGTCATGGACATGATACTGTATTCAGGTACAGACGTTGACATACCAGGTCAAGATCCACACGGGTTCTCCGGCAGTGTTGTCAAAACACTCGTGGAACCGTTGCTGAACAAGGGGCATATACTGTTCACGGACAACTACTATGCCAGCCCCCTTGTTGACCAGATTCCTCCTTGACCACAACACCGGCGTATGTGGCACTGTCAAGGCCCACAGGAGGAAAATACCAGTGTTTGGCATTAGTATTGCAGTGGGTGATTGACAGCTGCGAAAGTGTGACAAAATCTTATCAGTGCGCTCGAAGGACAGATGCGAGGTGAATATGTTGACAACTATTCACACCGGTGCCATGTTGGACAGTGACAAAGTGCACTTTGCAACACGGTTCCCAATATATAAAACTGATTGTGTCATTGACTACAACGTAAACATGCTGTTGATAAATGTGACATGATGCACGGTGCCATCAAGTGCGTGCCAAAATCTGTGAAGTGGACGAAGAAATTCTTTTTCACTCTCGTTGATGTTGCAGTGCTCAACTGTTTTAATATGTATCTCGTGAAATCAGGCAAAAGACCCCCAATACGTACAGTGTTGTTCTAGTGTCACAACTTCTCGTGAAGTTTGGAAAGGAGGGCTCTGTTGCAACGCGCAGGGTGCCAGCAACAATGCCACACGCAGTTCCTGACAGACTCGGGGGTAAAGAGATGCTGGGTGTACACAAGCTTAGTTATATGCCAGGCACAGGATCACGGGTAAACATGTCTGCGTTGTCTGCAAGAACACAAAACGTAGGGAACGCAGGCGAAGATGCATCTGCACCTGGTGCATTGAGTGCAAAGTTCACCTATGCCCTGTCGACTGCTTCTCTGAATATTACACACTCGCAGAGTTCTAATTGTGTTGATAGGGAATGTATATAGTGTGTGATAGTGTAGTGTAAATATGTTATAAATGTACATATATGAACATGAATTATTGGAAATATGATCAATGTTTGTGGACACATTTGTGATACATGTAACACAGTGTCTTAGAACAGTACGAATGTTCTACTGCCAGAATATTGTGAACGTGTTCAATATACTGTACATATTTGAAAAAAAAAAGAATTTGCAATTGTGCAGAAAAAATGAACAAAAAAATATTTGTGGCAACTCGCGCATGTTGAAGCTGATGCGCGACTGGTTCCAGGAGTCTACCCCATGGGTGACCACCAAACCATGATGCCACTATTTTCTGGACCCCACTGTGGCCAAAGTAAGTACAATTTTGATTTTATTTCAACATACGTATATGTGATCAGGGAGGGGTATTTAAAATTATTAGAAGTGCAAAAACAAATTTGCAGACAATTTATTTTCTGCGCACCAGGGATTTGCCATATTTGGGGGCAGAGCAGTGCAGTGGTTAAAAAACTAAGAAAGAGATCTAGAAGTGGTTCTGGATAGCAGAATGTCTTTAGAGGAATACATAAAGGACATCATGTGAGGAACATATGCTGCACTTTCCAACTTCAGAATCACTTTTAACCACAAAGATGGTAAAATACTAAAGAAACTATTCATGAAATTTTGCGATACCAAAATTGCAGGCCGCTCAAAGCAAGTCTGTTGGACCAAGCTCTCTCACGTCAAAGGGGAGTAGAAGAACTCCCAGAACCCCTTTAAGCAGGTAACCTCAAGAACAAGAGATCATAAATTCAAGCTTAGAAAACAAAGTTGTCAAAAAATATTAGAAAGTTTTCTTTTGCAGACAGTGATAGACGGTTGGAACAAGTCAGAAAGTAGGAGGCTAAAACCATCAATAGTTTCAAAACCGGTAGCAGCTTCAAAGCGTTATATGAGAAAGTACAGTACTGTCATATAACTGGGAAGGCGGGACACCATGAACGTAGCTCTCGTCTTGTAACTATACTTAGGGAATTACACACAAAAACATCTATCTGTGCAAGGTTGAAGGCCAGACAAGGTTGAGGGGAAATGCAGGGGGGGGGGGGGAAGAGGAGCATAAGAAGGGTGTAAGGGGGAAGAGGATAGGGTTTGTGAGAAAGAAATAAAGATGGAGATGAGAGGACAAGAGGTGGGAAGAACGGAGAAAAGAGTGGGAGGAAGATGAGGGAGGAGGGAGAAAGATGAGAGAGGGGGGAAAGATGAGGGAGGAGGGCAAAAGATGAGGGAGGAGGGGAAAGATGAGGGAAGAGGGGGAAGATCGGGGAAGATTGGTGGAGGAGGGAGGGGGAAGATTGGTGGAGGAGGGAGGGGGAAGATTGGTGGAGGAGGGAGGGGGAAGATTGGTGGAGGAGGGAGGGGGAAGATTGGTGGAGGAGGGAGGGGGATGATGGAGGAGGGAGGGGGATGATGGAGGAGGAAGGAGGCAAGATGTGGGGAGATGGGGGATGTGAAGAGGGATGGAATGGAGGGGGAGGAGGAGATGAGGATGTGAGGAAAAGAAGAGGGGATGGAACGGAGGGGGGGAGACTATCCCAGCCATAACCTGGCACCCCTCCTAGTTGGAAATTACAAAAAATGGTACAGTCCACCACTCACCACCAGGTGCCATTACAGACAACAGTAAAACTGACAGAAATGGAATGAAAACTGTCTTCCATCAGTAGAAAACAGTTCCCATTCTCCTTTATCACAATAGTTTTTCATAGACATTCAAGATCAGCACACAAAAAAACAAATAATGTATTGGAATTAACTTCGCAAATTAACTAAAGACATTTCTCACAATATTTTAGTAATAGATATTATATTTATAGGAACAACAACAGAAAATTCACCCTTTTCTTATATTGCTGTACAACGGCTCCTTCAGGAATATCCATTCTCTGCAAAGAAGAAAAAATTATTAGAAACTTATCAACTTTCCATACATAAACCTTAAAAAATCATTAACATGTTGTCATGAATAAAAGGATAAATAATAGTCATTAGGTTAAGTAACAAAAATAAGCATTGAATTTGATGAAACTTCCTTTCCTGGTGCCCCCCCCCACCCTGTAAGATAACTAGTGGGAAAATGCAAGTAATGTAATCTAACAAGTGAACAAAACAAATTAATAGTGCGACATGTGGTAGCAACACTGCCCGTCCATACAGCCTCCTCCAGGCCTGTCTCGAGTTGGTCAACACCCACGATCAACACCCACGGTCAACACCCACGGTCAACACCCACGGTCAACACCCACGGTCAACACCCACGGTCAACACCCACGGTTAACACCCACGATCAACATCCGAATCCACGATGCCCTGGATTCGGACACCTATCAAGCAGCGTCTGAAAATAAAGCTGGGCTGGCCACCAAAAGACCATAAGGACTACTCTCGTGGGAATGGGCTTCAACCGAGCCAGAACCCGAAGCAACAGCTGGACCGGGAGAAGAGGAACAAGTACCCCCACCTCGACCAGTCCTGCCGAAAGGCATCCACCGTGAACCCCTCGCAGGCGGGAAAGGGCGCCACATAGAATGAGCGACGCCAAGACCACGCTGACTCGAAGACGTCCATGGCCAGGAGTCCATACATCCGGCAGAGCCAACAAAACGAGTCGGCGATGACTGGCCAAACCGCGAACAGAAGAATGAACCGAGACAGCTGTCCGCCAGGATGCAGGACACAACCCGGACATGAACCTCACGGTTAGCCAAACCTCAAGAATCCAGCAAACGAGCCATTCTAAGGGACCTTCTTGAGGTTATCTTGAGATGATTTCGGGGCTTTTTAGTGTCCCCGCGGCCCGGTCCTCAACCAGGCCTCCACCCCCAGGAAGCAGCCCGTGACAGCTGACTAACTTCCAGGTACCTATTTACTGCTAGGTAACAGGGGCATTCAGGGTGAAAGAAACTTTGCCCATTTGTTTCTGTCTCGTGCGGGAATCGAACCCGCGCCACAGAATTACGAATCCTGCGCGCTATCCACCAGGCTACGAGGCCCCTCGCTATCCACCAGGCTACGAGGCCCCTACGAGGACCAACCCCAAAGGTCAAACACCTAAGAGAAACCCAGTGGTTCTGACAAAGTACCGCCAGAGAAGTCCGAATGAAGCCGAATGGTAGAGCACCGAGTGACCCGAACCCTCCGAAAACCAGACAGCCACGAACTCCCGGACCGTGCTGTGAGCCCAACGGACGGACAGACCTCACCATCCCCGGCCGACCTGGTGAGCGCTGGTCACGAAGCCCCAGCCAAGAGATGACCCGTCTGTGAACACATCGAGTGAAGGCTCGGGGAGGTGCCAAGGCACAGAACCCCGAAAACCCCAAAGAGGAAGCTGGTGATGCAGCACCAACACAAGATCCCCGGAGGAACGAACCCAACGATTGCAAGAGAGGCGGAAGGGGAGTCTCCGAAGGAACCAAACAAACGCCGAAGCCAAACCTGACCCTGCGGGCAGACCAGCACGTCGAAGTTCAGACTCCCTCACAACTGCTCGAGCAACCTGGGACCCCCTCATGAACAGCCGAAGGTGGGACCACAGTTCAGACTCCCGCAGGGGCCGACTCCCCAGTTCAGACTCCCGCACAACTGCTCGAGCAACCACCGAGCAACCCGGGACCCCCTCATGAACAGCCGAAGGTGGGACCACAGCCGCAGCAACACTTCTGGAGGGAAAGACGAGGAGCGGCCCAAGAGCCCTAAACAACACCCAGCCAGGTCCGAACCTGGGATGGAAACATATGGAACGGCCTCCAGATCACCAGGAAACCGAACCCAGCGATCTGGAAAGAACCACACCCCTGGAGAGCAGACAAGCGGACCGACTGGGAGCCCACACCAGCCAGTCGTCGAGGTAGGCCCGACACCGAATCCCAAGCAGACTCAAACAGGGCACCAAGATCCGGTAAAGATGCGTAAATACACCATGTGCCAATTCCAAAATAGGGAAGGCAACAAAAGCGGCAAGCTTGAAGCCCCACCACCAACTGTGCCAGTCCCGGAAAACTGGAGAAGAACGTGCCAAGAGTTGACATGGCGGTCCAGGGCCACCATCCAGGCACCCGGCCCCAACAGAAGCCGGACAGGAGACAACAGTCCTCCGATGAGGGCATAGAATCCAGGGCGCAGATTGAAGAAGTCCAGAAGAACCGCATTGTCGCCAGGCCCGTGTCTGCATAGAGCAGACAATAAACCAGGACTTCACAGAAATAAACTGGTAAGAACAGCTAAGAAATGCAAACCTGAACCAGTGCCTGGAAAAAATAAGCTCAGTAGCACTAGAAATATGTTCAAACCACATACCTGCAGAACTAGAAAACAAGATTGGTTCAACAGAAATTGCAAGAGGGCCAGAGACCAAAAGACACAAAAATGGAATCAATACAGGAAGAGGCCAAACTCCCAAACATACCAATGATACAAAGATGCAAGAAACAACTATACGGCAGTGAGGAGAGAGGCAGAAACAAATTTTGAAAACGGGATTGCAGACAAATGTAAAACTGAACCAGGCCTACTCTATAAATTCATAAACAACAAATCGCAGGTAAAGGATAATATTCAGAGGTTGAAAATGGGAAACAGATTCACAGAAAATTAAAATGAAATGTTTGAAACATTAAACAAAAAGTTCCAAATGTGTTTGTACAAAATTAAATCCTCAGGGGGAACCAGACACAATAAGAATTCCAGAGAACAACATAGAGCACATAGAGGTGTCTAGAGACAAAGTGGAAAATATGCTCAAGGAGCTAAGTAAGAACAAAGCAGTTGGTCCAGATGGAGTTTCACCATGGGTTCTGAGAGAATGTGCACCTGAGCTCAGCATTCCACTTAAAACTGATTTTTCAGGCATCCCTGTGTACAGGAGTTGTAGCTGATGTGTGGGAAAAGGCTCACATAGTTCCTATCTACAAAAGTGGCAGCAGGAAAGACGCCCTCAATTATAGACCTGTATCATTGACAAGTGCAATAGTCAAAATATTGGAACAAATAATTAAAACTACAGTAAATGGGTAGAACCCCCAGAGAAAAATATATAATATCAGACAGTATGGTTTTCGATCAGGAAGATCCCGTGTAACGAATTTACTCAGTTTCTATGATCGAGCCACAGAGATTTTACAGGAAAGAGATGGTTGGGTTGACTGCTTCTATCTGGGTCTAAAAAAAAAAGGCTTTTGATAGAGTTCCACATAAGAGGTTGTTCTGGAAACTGGAACATATTGGAGGGGGTGACAGGTAAGCTTCTAACATGGATAAAAAATTTCCTAACTGATAGAAAAATGAGGGCCGTAATCAAGAGGCAATGTATTGGACTGGAGGAATGTCACAAGTGGAGTACAGTGGTACCTCGGAATGCGATTGTCCCTGTATGCGAGATTTTCGGAAGGCGAGGTGTATTTACTCCAAAAATTTGTCTCAGAAGGCGAGGGTTACTTCGGGAGGCGAGTTTGGACGCGAGTTTGTTGATACGCGTACAGCCGACCTAGCGCGTTCGTCGCCCCTCCGCCCCTCAGTTTATTATTGTCTCGCGCTCAGTGACTACCCCCACATCAATTCTTCTCGCGGATTTTCAGTGTTTTGTTGGATTTTTGGTGATTTGTCTATACAATTTGTTATTATATATCTCACCATGGGTCCCAAGAAAGCCAGTGGTAAGGATAAAGGCCAGAAAGCTCATGTGAGGATGACAATAGAGGAGAAACAAGAGATCATTCGGAAGCATGAGAACGGTACACGTGTTGTTGAACTTTGTAGGCAGTACAACAAAGCCACATCAACAATATGCACTATACTTAAGAAGAAAAATAAGATTATGGGTGCTAAAGTGGCAAAAGGAGTAAGAACATTAACGGCACAAAGACCACAAATACTTGAAGAAGTGGAAAAGTTGTTATTAATTTGGATACACGACAAGGAGTTGAGGGGTGATAGTGTTTCGGAGGCCATTATTTGTGAGAAAGCCAGGGTGTTGCACGGAGACCTTCTAAAGAATACCCCTGCAACGAGTGATGCAGATAAGAAAGAGTTTAAGGCAAGCAGGGGCTGGTTTGAAAAATTTAGAAAGAGAAGTGGTATCCATAGTGTTACAAGGCATGGGGTTATGTGATGTGATTATGGAAGGGGACTCCCCTTCCAAACAGTAACTCCTCTCCTCCTCCCCCCTCCTCACCATCTTCCATACGCCTACAGCACTCTACAGCAAGGTAAGTAATAACTGGAACACAGTTTTGTAGGTTTATTTAGATGAATTAGGTAAATTAGGTATAAAAATTTAGTTTGATGTGGGGGTTTTTGGGGTAGTCAGGAACGGATTAATTCATTTCCCTTTATTTCTTATGGGGAAATTAACTTCGGAATGCGAGTTTTCGGAAGGCGAGGCGTCTCCAGGAACGGATTAAACTCTTATTCTGAGGTATGCCTGTACCACAGGGTTCAGTTCTTGCACCGGTAATATTCATTATCTACATAAACAATCTACCAGAAGGAATACACTTATATGAACATGTTTGGTGATGATGCTAAGATAATAGGCAAGATAACAAACTTGGATGATTGTCATGCCTTTCAAGAAGACCTAGACAAAATATGTATATGGAGCACCACTTGGCAAATGGAGTTTAATGTGAATAAATGCCATGTTGTGGAATTGGAGAACATAGACCCCCACACAACCTATAAATTATGTGAGAAATCTTTAAAGAATTTTGCCAAAGAGATCTAGGGGTGGTTCTAGATAGAAAACTGTCACCTGAAGACCACATTAAGAACACTGTGCGAGGAGCCTATGCTACACTTTTTAACTTCAGAATTGCTTTTAAATACATGGATGGAGAAATACTAAAGAAATTGTTCACGACCTTTGTTAGACCAAATTGGAATATGCAGCAGTTATATGGTGCCCATATCTAAAGCAGCACATCAACAAATTGGAAAAGATGTAATGGCATGCCACTAAGTGGCTCGCATGCCACTAAGTGGCTCCCAGAACTGAAGGACAAGAACTATGAGGAGAAGTTAGAGGCATTAAACATATCAAAACCTAAAAGATAGAAGAAAAAAGAAGCGATATGATCACTACATACAAAATAGCAACGGGAATCAATAAAATTGACAGGGAAGAATTCCTGAGACCTGGAACTTCGAGAACAAGGGGTCATAGATTTGAACTAACTTAACAAAGCTGCCAAAGAGAGATAAGAAAATTTACTCTCGCAAAGAGTGGTAGACGGTTGGAACAAGTTAGGTGAGAAGGTGGTGGAGGCCAAAACCGTCAGTAGTTTCAAAACATTATTTGACAGAGTACTGGGAAGACGTGACACCACGAGCGTAGCTCTCATCCTGTGACTACACTTAGGTAACTACACTTAGTTAATTACAGGTATCTATGGTAAATCTCAAATTTATGTTTAGGGCCAGTGATTTTTTTTTTTAGTAATTATTCATGAACATGGAATTCCATGAGCCTGGGCTTGGGATGGATTGCAAAGACACACTGTCTATTGGAACCTCGAGGCCCAGTGACGTTAGGGTGACATCAAAGTCAAGGTTTGGATCACAAATGAATTCATTTCCAGGGTAGTCAATTTTCAGTGTGTTTAGGGGTTCAGTTTTCATAATTTCTTCATTGTTGTCAATGAAAGCTCCATTTTCCTTGAACAAGGGGCCCAATACTGTTACTTTTTTTGCTCTAGGTTTTGCATAGGAAAAATTTTGTTAGCTCCTCCCAAGTTTGCATAAGAGTCTTTTGCTTGCAAGTAGTTTTTTCATTTGTATTCTTTGCCTATTAAAAAAGTGTGCTATTCTCATTCCAATTTGCATCTTTTTCTCTCTTTTTGTTTGTGTAGTAACTTTAACATATGCCAAGTACCACTGCCTACTCTTTAGATGCATTAACTGAGGGTTGATACCTGGTTGATGGGATTCTGGGAGTTCTTCTACTTCCCAGGCCCGGCCCGAGGCCAGGCTCGACAGGTTGCAGCTTCTCTTCCCAGCTTATTTTTGTTAGGTATTATAAACATTATGTATGTTTATTAGGTCCTAGTTAATAAGCTTACTACTAATAATTTATTTTCTGATGTCTCCTCTTAGATTTAAGAGCAGATGTGCAGATCTATTGTCCATACTTGTCTGAAAAGCGATTAGGTTACGATCCGAGTAACGTATATTTTGAATTACTGTGTATGTTATTTCATCTTTGTGAAAACATGGTCTAAGAAAGGGTTTTCCTACTTGATTCTACTATTTACTGCATATGTTAGTCTTAAGAGGTTAATTTTAAGATTTGTTAGGACTCTACTTGACTAAAGCCTAAAGAAAAACATGCAGAAAATGTACCTCATTATCCCTAACACCATTAACAAAATACTTTAGAAGCAAGTGCAAAGTCCAATAATGAGGAGGATGTAAACCTATATTTTACCTTGTGGAAGGTATTGTGGAACAACTGCTGTGCTGTCCCCAGCTGCCTGGAAAACAATTGGACAGACTGTTGGCCAGGGTCTCATACAGTCCATGGTGGCCCTCTCATACAGTCCATGGTGGCACACTCACCCACTCATGCCCACACATTGATACACCTCCACACACAAGCACACCCTATTATCAAAACCAGTGTCACTAAAAACTGCAATTGTCAATTAATTTTTATCATTTCTCCTGGGTGATACCCTAATGAGTAACGGGACACGCTACCGGCTCACCTGACACATTTACTTCCTCCTCAGCAAAGTTAACTGCTCATAGATCAGTGGCAAAGTTGCTTCCATTAACCCGAGCAAAGTTTAGCAGTCCTCCACCCAGGAGCCGCTCGCCCTTGGCAGGATGGTTCCTTCTGCGTAAAGGGTGAAGTAACAAGCCAATGGCAGGGAGTATTAACACACATAACTTTCTGGGGTATTAGCACAAACTTCACCGCTCTATCATCTCACAACCGATTAGAGTTGAGAATCTTTCAAGCTTCCACCAGAAATAGCGTATTGCAAACGTTTCCACTAAAGCAAACTCTTCGTGCGGCAGTCTTCATCACCAGAAACGCATTCATTCATCTGCATTAATATGCAGTGCTAAGGAAAGGAAATGAGTGAAATTTACAACAAAAAATCACAAAGTACTAATAGCCATAGTTTCATGCAAGTTCACACGAGCAGCGCAGCACCACAACATCTGTAACAACAACTTGTCACGAGTCACCTGGACGCCTATTGGTCCAAATTTTAGAAACATGACGGGCTAAGCAAAGTAGTGCCCGAATTATATCACGTACACATATATAACGCAATCATTCAAATAATATTTTTGGGTTTTATTGTACTTATTTTATTTTTTGGTTTAGCACTCGTAATATTTTATTTATAAAAGGTTCTTAAACATTAATCGATATTCGTATTGGCGTCTCATGGAACAAAGGCTAAACATCTTTTAAAACCGAGATAATGAGGCGGTCTATTTAAATTCTTAAAGTCTCAAAATTATATATATATATATATATATATATATATATATATATATATATATATATATATATATATATATATATATATATATATATATATATATTGGTAGCAGTCTTTCCTGTAGACATATATTATTAAATATGACCGAGAAAGTAAGATTAATAATTCTAACACGAATTTTCTCAATCTTTCGTACAATTCTTTTCACTGTTGGAGGTAAATCAAAAATCAATTCTCCAAAATTCATTTTTATTTCTAGTCTGACGCGACACGAGCGCGTTTCGTAAAACTTATTACATTTTCAAAGACTTTAGTTTACAAATACACAACTGAATAGAACTTACGCATCTCCGATTTTATATCTACATTTGAGAGAGGTGGATGGGGTGAGGTGGCATTAATAGGGTATTAATTTCATCAACACAAGACAGAACAAGAGGTGGCATTAATAGGGTATTAATTTCATCAACACAAGACAGAACACGAAACAATGGGTATTGAATAGAAGTGATTGTAGAAAGCCTATTGGTCCATATTTCTTGATGCTTCTATATTGGAGCGGAGTCTTGAGGTGGGTAGAATATAGTTGTGCATTAATTGGCTGTTGATTGCTGGTGTTGACTTCTTGATGTGTAGTGCCTCGCAAACGTCAAGCCGCCTGCTATCGCTGTATCTATCGATGATTTCTGTGTTGTTTACTAGGATTTCTCTGGCGATGGTTTGGTTGTGGGAAGAGATTATATGTTCCTTAATGGAGCCCTGTTGCTTATGCATCGTTAAACGCCTAGAAAGAGATGTTGTTGTCTTCCCTATATACTGGGTTTTTTGGAGCTTATATATATATATATATATATATATATATATATATATATATATATATATATATATATATATATATATATATATATATATATATATATATATATATATATATATATATATATATATATATATATATATATATATATATATATATATATATATATATATATATATATATATATATAAATATATATATATATATATATATATATATATATATATATATATATATATATATATATATATATATATATATATATATATATATATATATATATATATTCTGGGGTGTGAGTTTTCAGTCGCATATAGTTCTGGGGACCATTCAGGCTCATTCAGGGATTTCCCCCATTCAGGGACCATTCATAATATCAGAAAGAATACCGGGAAGTAGCCTAAATGAACAGGCACATGCTAATGACCTGCTCCGGATGTGCGACAGGTTTGCCTTAAACTAGCAAATAGTAGAACCAACTAGGAAGGAGAACACGCTGGACCTCATTTTCACTAATAATGATGAATTGATCAGGAACATAATGATTACAAATATATGTTACTCAAATCACAACTTAATTGAAGTTATGACAACCATGGGGAGTAGACCTTCAAAACCAGTCCAGATTCCCGGTGGAGGAGATTTCAGCAAATTCAACTTCAATAATAAACAGATAAACTGGGAGCAAATAAACCAGGACTTATACAATACAATACAATACAATACAATTTTATTTAGGTAAGGTACATACTTCAAGGACTTCAAGTACTTCATACTTCTTAGGACTTCATACTTCAAGTACATACTAAGGACTTCACAGAAATAAACTAGGAAGAACAGCTAGAAAATGCAAACCTGAACCAGTGCCTGGAAAAAATAAGCTCAGTAGCACTAGAAATATGTTCAAACCGCATACCCCTAAGAAAAAAGAGGAAGAGATGCAGATTGGAACGGGAACGTCGTTCCCTATATAGGCGAAGAAAACGAATCGCGGAACAACTTGAGAGTCGTACCCTATCTCAAGAACGGCGAAGAAGGTTAGGTAGAGAAATAGAAACAATTGAACGCAAGCTACAAGAATCATACAAAACCCAGGAGAGGCAAAGAGAGCAAAAGGCCATCAGTGAAATAGAGAGAAATCCGAAATATTGTTTCTCCTATGCAAAATCAAGATAAAAAACCACATCCAGTATCGGGCCCCTGCGAAAGGGAGATGGAACTTTCACCGATGACAACAAAGAAATGAGCGAGCTACTGAGAAAGCAGTACGACTCTGTTTTCAGCGAGCCATTAAACACACTAACCTTGAGGTTACCTTGAGGTGCTTCCGGGGCTTAGCGTCCCCGCGGCCCGGTCGTCGACCAGGCCTCCTGGTTGCCGGACTGATCAGCCAGGCTGTTGGACGCGGCTGCTCGCAGCCTGACGTATGAGTCACAGCCTGGTTGATCAGGTATCCTTTGGAGGATACCTGATACCTAAAGATTGATAACCCAAATGAATTTTTCATGGATATGATACCAACATCAAATCATATATCAGACGTCACCCTATCCCCACTGGATTTTGAAAAAGCCATAAACAGTATGCCTATGCACTCTGCACCAGGCCCGGATTCTTGGAATCCATATTCATAAAGAACTGTAAAAAACCACTATCGCAGGCCCTCCACATTCTGTGGAGACAAAGCCTAGATACTGGCGTTATTCCTGATATACTAAAAACAGCAGAGATAGCACCACTTCATAAAGGAGGAAATAAGGCAGAGGCAAAAAATTACAGACCGATAGCACTAACATCGCACATTATAAAAAATTTTGAGAGAGTGCTAAGAAGTAGGATCACAAAATACATGGAATCACAGCATCTCCATAACCCCGGACAACATGGTTTCAGAACAGGGCGCTCTTGCCTGTCGCAGTTGCTGGACCACTATGATATGGCATTAGATGTTATGGAAGGCAAACAAAACGCTGATGTAATTTACACAGATTTCGCAAAAGCTTTTGATAAATGTGACCATGGTGTTATTGCACATAAAATGCGTTCAAAAGGAATTACCGGAAAAATAGGCAGATGGATCTACAATTTCCTGACCAACAGAACCCAATGTGTAATAGTCAACAAAATAAAATCCAGCCCATCAACCGTGAAGAGCTCAGTCCCCCAGGGTACTGTGCTTGCTCCAGTACTTTTTCTCATCCTCATATCGGACATAGACAAGAACACAACCTATATAGCACTGTATCATCCTTTGCAGATGACACTAGGATCTTCATGAGAGTAGGCAACATAGAGGACACGGTAAACCTCCAGTCAGATGTAGATGAGGTCTTTCTATGGGCTACAGAAAATAATATGGTGTTTAACGAAGATAAGTTCCAGCTCATGCGCTATGGAAAAAATGAAAATATAAAAACGGAAACCACGTACAAAACTCAGGCAAATCATAACATAGAACGAAAAGGCAATGTAAAGGACCTGGGTGTACTCATGTCGGAAGACCTTACCTTTAAAGAACACAATAAAGTAGCCGTCACAACTGCAAGAAAAATGACTGGTTGGATAACAAAAACTTTTCACACTAGAGATGCTATACCGATGATGATACTTTTCAAAACGCTTGCTCTCTAGAGTGGAGTACTGCTGCACAATGACAGCCCCTTTCAAAGCTGGAGAAATGGCTGACCTGGAGAGCGTGCAGAGATCCTTTACTGCTAGAATCCACTCAGTAAAACATCTAAACTATTGGGACCGACTAAAGAGCCTAAAACTGTACTCCCTTGAGCGCAGACGGGAGAGGTACATAATTTGCAGGTCCCAAACCTGCACACAGAAATAACATCACATGAGACCAGAAGACATGGCAGGATGTGCAGAATACCCCCGTTGAAAAGCAGAGATGCAACAGGTACTCTGAGAGAGAACTCTATCAACATCAGAGGCCCGAGACTGTTCAACACGCTTCCACTACACATAAGGGGCATAATTGGCCGACCCCTCACAGTGTTCAAGAGAGAACTGGATAAGCACCTCCAAAGGATACCTGATCAACCAGGCTGTGACTCATACGTCAGGCTGCGAGCAGCCGCGTCCAACAGCCTGGTTGATCAGTCCGGCAACCAGGAGGCCTGGTCGACGACCGAGCCGCAGGGACGCTAAGCCCCGGAAGCACCTCAAGGTAACCTCAAGGTAACCCCCCCTGACGGGACCCCCCAGGAAGCTTCTTGGAAGGAAACCATGGTGGAATTCCTAGCAGCTATTGCACCCAGGGGCCAGGAAACCGGATGGGGAGAAGAACTCCTTGATGAGGCAATCACTGACCTGGTCAGTGGTAACGGCCATAACGTGGATAGGATCCTTGAGCGCCATGCTCGAGTGGTTACTTCTGCCAAAAGATCTGGTGACCACGCACTGAGCCCTCGCCCTGCGCGTCGACAGAGACCTCCACCGATTAATCATGCCGATCCAACCCAACCTCCGACCGGACGAAAGAGGGAGCGAAGTGCACAGTATGTTCTGTGTCAGAGCCTGTACAAGAAGGATCGTTCAAAAGCCGCTGCGCGCGTCCTTTCCGGAGACTGGAAAGTAACCCCCACCGAGGTGGAGCCAGCTCGTCTCTTTCTATTCTGGGAGGCACTATTCTCTAGACCCACATCACCGGACCGCCGCTCAATTCGTGACCGTGATCCAGTTAATCAGCAACTAGGGGACCCAATAACATCAGAGGAAATTCTTGTTGCTCTCAAGGCAAGTAGCAATGCTGCTCCCGGCCCAGACACTATACGTCTACTTAAAGCTATACCAATCAGGGTATTTGCAAAACTGTTTAATCTGTGGTTGGTAAACGAATCCCTGCCACAACCCTTTCGCAAGAATAAGACAGTGCTGTTACCTAAGAAACCTAACCCAGACTCTCCTTCTCATTATCGCCCCATAACAATGTCATCTACGATAGTGAGGCTGTTCCATAAAATTCTGAGCAGCAGACTCTCCTAGGCAGTCAGGATCGACAGATGGCAGAAGGCCTTCGTCCCTGTGGACGTATGCCCTGAAAACCTGGTGATCCTGGATGCCCTTCTTGCTGAGGCTCGTGCGCTCAAGCACAACACGCACCTAGCGTTTCTGGATATGGAGAAGGTTTTCGACAGAGTCTCCCATCCGGCCATCCATCGGGCCATGAAACGCAAAGGTATTCCAAAGCCTTTAAGGACATATATAATGTCGGGCTATGATCGGTCCTCAACCGTAATAACCAGTCAAGGGGAGAAGTCAAAGAACATCCTGATCACTATAGGGGGTGAAACAGGGTGACCCCCTGTCTCCATTTCTTTTCAACCTAATAATTGATGAGGCAATTACTAGGGCTAAGGACTTGGGGCTAGGGGTTGGACTGGGAGGCGAAAAGATATCAGCACTGGCATTCGCTGACGATCTGGTTGTGGCAGCAGAAACGGCTGCCGGATTAGACACTCATAACAAGTATTTGCCACACACTGCGTGGCTCTTTTCTTAAAGTAAATGCTGCGAAATGCCGTACGCTAAGCATAGCGATTGATGCACATCGTAAGACATGGCATGTCCACACCAGGAAGGCCATACTACGTCGGGGACGATGCAATCGGTACTATGAGTGTGGCGGACGAGTATAAGTACTTAGGAATACTTATCGGGGCCGGGGGCAGACGCTTACCCTATGGTTCCCTGTTTGAGGACGGCCTAACTAACATCACTAAGGCGCCACTCAAACCCCAACAGAGGCTATACCTACTAAAGCACCACCTAATCCCCAAGATTAGGGGGATCTCCCCTCGTTCTCGGACGCGTGTTTAAGACGGAGTTAGCGAGGCTTGACCGGCGGCTGCGACATGCCACTCGTGGCTGGCTGCGGCTGCCTCATGATACTCCTAATGCCTTTATTCATGCCGGCGTGAAGGACGGTGGACTAGGAATACCCGACTTTTCCACATCAATCCGCCTACAAACGAACAAGTGGTTCGGGGCGTTAGTAGAGTCGGAGGATCCAGTGGTAGTGGCAGCAGCTCTCCTACCCGCGTTCCAAGCGCGAATGCGTCGATGGGTAGACCCGACCACGGCCTCCGGAACCCCTTCTAACAGAACGACTGAGCGCTCTAGGAAGTGGAAAGCAATACTGTACAGCATGGTCGATGGTGCCGGCCTCGCGTCCTCTTGTGAAGTTCCATCTTGCCACAAGTGGGTCGCGTCCGGCACCCGTTTGCTAAGCGGAGGAGATTTTGCTCACGCCATTCAGATTAGGGCAAACGCTGTAGCCACGCCGTCTAGAGCAGCTAGGGGTAGACCCGAGGCTTCTGGTCTTTGCGATGCTTGTCGGAAGCCAGGAACCCTGGGCCACATATCCCAGGCATGCCACAAGACACACGGGGCTCGGGTGAAACGTCATGACGATATCACCCGGTTCGTAGCTGGCCGCCTGCGGCAATGGGGTTTCGAGGTGGGACGCGAAGTTCGTATACCGGATGGAGGGACCTTCTGTAAGCCCGACATCATAGCTTGCAAAGGTAATGAGGCCTTTATATTAGACACCCAGGTCTCAGCTGATAACTTCCCACTCTCCCGTCCACATCAGAGCAAGTGCGACAAGTACGGCACCCCAGAGATCCTTCAAAAGGTCAGGGAATATACCGGGAAGCACACAGCATCCGCCTCTTCAATAACCCTTAATTGGAGGGGAGGATGGTGCAAGGAGAGTGCGCGTGGTCTACAGGATATGGATCTCACCAAGAGCGACCTTGAGATTTGCTCTGTGAAAGCCCTGACCTGGACATATTCCATCTACAGAATATGGTCCAAGACCACATCTAGGGGCAGACCACCTTAGTCCCAGGATCACCGTGCACAGGGTGCATATGGGTCGATATAGTCTCGCTTAGGTGAACTGCAGCCAGGATAGCTGGTAGCCAACTATCTAAGCAGAGTCGTCATCTGGAGTACCACTTCTCCTAATGGTGTCTCACAAGAGGGTGGATGACCTGGCCGGAGCCCACGAGTGGGTAAGGCGGCGGCCGAAGGGACCCCCATACGCATACACGATATCCCTCCCGCTCCGGGGCCTTGTTAGGAGCTTCCACTATGTCTAGTTTTCCATGTATGCCGACGTCAAGTCATCAATCCTGCCGCTTAGGCAGCTTGCTGTTTTGGCCTTCAGCATTAGTTCTTTTTTAATGATATACTGTGCACCCCTACCTGTGTGTGCTGTGTCTCATATAAGAAAAAACCAAATACAAAAGAATTTTCCATTTAATGTTTGTTTGTTTTTCAGGTTATTATTGTGTGTTATTAGTATCATCTTAACTCTTGTGGGGTGTGATGAGATCTGCCATTTATGTGTATTTTAGTTTGTGTTTGATAGGGTATTAGGTATGCTTAGGGGTGCCTTCTCGCCATGCCCTGTGGCTGGGGGGATTGGTGCCCTGAAGCTACATAAACACCCTATACTCCCCCGAAGTGGCAAGGGGAGTTAGGGGACAAGACTGAAAACTAAGTACTACCTAATTAACTCCATGTAACCTACCTTACCCCTAAATGTCAACCCATGTCTTACTATTTTAAACAATGCTGTTTATTGACCAACTCAACTTGCATAATTGCTATTTTCTGCATGTTCCCCTTTTTTTATTTTTTTTTAACACAATTTATACTTTAAGCTCAATTACTATTAAATTTCAGTCTAAGTGTTTTTTCCCCCCTCACTTTGTCCGAAACGCTATGGGTATTGTATGTACTAGCTCTATCTATAAATCCAACATTATGTTTGTAAATCATCTATATATGTACGTTTACCTAAATAAACATTTTGATTTTTTTTGTTTGAATATAGGGTGGATATATTATATTAAGTTGGGCATGACCGAAGTTGGGAGGCAGGAGGCGTGGAGAGCGTGTATCACTCAGCTGTCATCGCCACCCACTGCTCCTTCCACTCTTCTCGATACTCTTCCGTAAGTAAGAAGTCTCTCATTTACCTACGTCCTTTTGGAAATTAATCATAGAGCTAATAATTACAAGAGAGCTTCCTAACACGTATGGACACTTGTAAACTGTGGTACATCAGTCTTGTGTTACCCGGTGTTTGCTTGGGGGACTGATCCAGCACATTCTAAACCTCACTCGTTCAACTACACATTCTCGCTGGTTTTGTTCTGTAGTGTTTTGAGGATTTAAATGTATTAATATTACAGTATGTTGACGGAGGGTACAGACGAGTCCAGATATAGAGTGACCCCAGACTTGAGTCGGCATCCACGGCAGTTTTGCTCATGACACGTTTCCTAATTGTTAAAACTATACTTATTAGGTTTGGCTTGGTTATGTAAACTTCAAATCACAGCAAGTAGTTTAGTTAATTTTTTTGAGTATTGACCCCACACCCATCCTGTCAGGAGTAGTGGAAAAAGTTGCAGAGGCATGTACTCGGGAACTTAATTCTGATAATTTTTTAGCTAAGCAAGTTACGACTTTGATGAGTTAGTTTAACATATATACCAATGTCTATTCAAATTATCAAATTAACATAACCATAACCCCAAGGAATATGGTTAAATCGTACGCAAGTAATTTGACAAAGCTCATTTTGTAATTGTTAAAACATTTGACACTGTCATAGCACTGCAAGCATGGAGACCTCATCTTCAGGACACATTCTATTATGCATATGAATTATATTTGCTTTCAAGAAAGTACATCACCGAGCAACAAAAACCATTTTAAAACTAAATCAACTCTTGTTCCACGAAGGGTTGAAAGCCACAAGGCTAACACTGCAAACCAGGCATGAGACGGCGGATCTCATCGAAATGTTCAAAATACTGAACGATTTAGAGGATGTTGATCCAGAGAACTTATTCAGAAGGTCAGATGTAATGAACAAGAAGCAATAAAAAGACAATACTCCTATCCAATAACAATATTGTGCTTTCAGCCTCTGACACTGAAAAAAAAAAAATCAAAATTCAAATGTTTATTCAGGTAAAGTACATACATACAATGGGTGGTACAAATATTGATGAATTTATAGATTGAGCTAGTGCATACAATGCCTAAAGCCATTATTACGCAAAGCGTTTCAGGCAGGAAAAACACTAACGACTAAAACTTAATACTAATTGAGATTGAAGTATAAAATGTGTTGAGAAAATATAAAAATAAAAAAGGAGGGAACATGGCAGACAAACAGCAAAAATACAATTTGGTTGACAGACAGCATTGTTTAAAAATAACACATGGGTTGACATTATAGGGGTAAGGTAGGTTACAGGGAGTTAATTAGGTAGTGCTTAGTTTTTATCTTAAACTGGTTGAGAGAGGTACAGTCTTTAACATGATTGGGAAGGTCATTCCACATTCTGGGTCCCTTGATTTGTAGAGCATTTCTAGTTTGATTAAGTCTTACTCTTGGAATATCTAAAAGGTATTTGTTTCTGGTGTGGTGCTCATGGGTTCTGTTACAACCTTCAATGAAGCTTTTAAGGTCAGGATTGGCATTACAGTTCAGCATTTTATATATATATAATACACATGAGAGGATGTGCAGTGACTTAATATCTAACATATTCAGTGATTTGAGTAGGGGTACCGAGTGCTGTCTGGGGCCAGAGTGGAATATTGTCCTAATAGCAGGTTTGTGTTGAGTAATTAGAGGACGTAAATGATTTTGGGTAGTAGAACCCCAAGCACAAATACCATAGTTCACTGCTATTGAATTCAATAGTTTCTTCTCATCCATTGGGTCATCACTTGCTAATGATATTACATCCTTCCGTACTAATGTTAAGGACTACCTCACAGGTAACTATCCAGAGTATCTGTATCTAACTCCCGCCAATTCCACTGATGTTAATGAGATAATTCTTTCTCTTAAAACAAAGTCAAGTGCCCTTGCTGAGATACTAACTCTAATTTACAAAAAAATCCAGATTTCTAGCTCCAGCCATTGCAATGCTCTACAACAAATCACTTGAACTCAAAACCTTTCTGGATATTCTAAAAAAGCGAGAGTAACCCCAGTCCATAAATGTGGCGATCTCGCTGATGTCAACAATTTCAGGCCTATATCAATTCTGCCAACCTTGTCAAAAATATTTAAAAAGCTAATCTATAAGCAGCTTTACTTTTATCTAGTTAAACTATTTAGCTCTTGCCAATATGGCTTCAGACCCCCTCCCCCCAAAAAAGGCACTAACGATGCCCTAATTAGTATGATTAACTTGATACATGCAGCTCTTGATAAAAATGAGTTCCCTGTTGGGTTATTTGTTGACCTATGTAAGGCATTTGACACTCAACCACTAATATCTTCTTAAATTACATCATTATGGAGTCAGAGGTCACTCCATCCAATACCTTTAGTCCTACCTTGGAGCCTCGTAGCCTGGTGGATAGCGCGCAGGACTCGTAATTCTGCGGCGCGGGTTCGATTCCCGCACGAGGCAGAAACAAATGGGCAAAGTTTCTTTCACCCTATGCCCCTGTTACCTAGCAGTAAAATAGGTACCTGGGTGTTAGTTAGCTGTCACGGGCTGCTTCCTGGGGGTGGAGGCCTGGTCGAGGACCGGGCCGCGGGGACACTAAAGCCCCGAAATCATCTCAAGATAACCTCAAGATAACCTACCTTAGTGATAGATGTTTAGATTCAGATTCAGATTCAGATGTTTATTCAGGTAAGGTATATACATACAAGTGATGTTACATTAATGGATTGATATATAGATAGAGCTAGTACATACAATGCCTAAAGCCACTATTACGCAATGCGTTTCGGGCAAGAAAAACATTAATATCTAGAACTTAATACTAATTGAGCATAAAGAATAAAAGATGTTGAGAACAAATACAAATAAAGATAAAAAAAAAGGGGGAACTTGACTGAAAAAGCAGCACAAATACAATAGGCTCCAGTATGTTTGTGAATACAATGGGGCCTCGACTTACGATGCTAATCCGTTCCCAGAGACGGATCGGAAGTCGAAGCGAATTTTCCCATAAGAAATAAAGGGATTTGAATTAAGCCGTTCCCCACCCTCCAAAATATTAACATAAAAATACACTTTATACTGAATACAATGTTTTTTTCTAACTACAATACAATGCCAAAGTTATTCTTATCTTTATGGAGGGCTCTTGATGGTGTAGGGAAGATGGTGATGGGGAGGAGGAGAGTTGTTACTGTTTGGAAGGGGAGTCCCCTTCCATTATCACATCAGGCAGTGATGTTTTCTTTGGGGTATTCTCTCTCTCCTACGTTTTGCCTGAATACCACTAGGTCCTGGTTGTGGTTCAGTGCTTGTTTGTCTCACTACAAATTTGTCAAGAGTCATTTGTTTTTCCATTCGTTTTAACATTTGTCTGTAATGATGCATCACTTTAGCACCCATAATGTCCTTTTTCTTAGCTTGTATGGTGGATATCGTTGACTGAGATTTGTTGTACTGCCTAGCCAGTTCACCTACCTGCACACCATCTTCATATTTACGAATGATCTCTTGTTTCTGCTCTATGGTCATTCTTACATGGGATCTCATATGTTGAGCCTTACCACTGACTTTCCTGGGACTCATGGCGTATTATATAATAATTACTTTAATGTTCAAAATGCAAAAAATCCCCACAAAAGCGGAATTTCTTATAGGCGCGATCGTCACTAAGCGGGTAGCTGTAGTAAACTGAGGCAGGTCGGACTGCGTGACCGGGAACCACGCGCTCGGCCGACCCGAACGTGTACCAACAAATATCGGATGTCGAGTCGCATTTTTCGATGAAATTTATATTGTAACTCGAAATTATCGTAAGTAGGGGCAATCGTATGTCAAGGTGCCACTGTAATTCCATTTCTCCTACACTCCCCATAAACATTGATGTTCCACAGGGCAACATACCTGCCCCTCTCCCCTTTCTCATCTGCATTAATTACCTTCCAAATGCCTCTCAATACCTCAATCCAATTTTATTTGCTGATGACACAACCTTCATTTTCTCCAGTCCAAACTCTCTTACTCTGAATGATAGTGAATACTGAGCTTAATAAAGTCCATCTTTGGCTAACTGCTAACACTCTCACCCGTAACATTGATAAAACCTTCTATATTTTGTTTGGTAATAAATCCTCAGATCAAATTAATCTAAGAATAAACAATATCCAAATTAGTAACAAAGTAGATGGTAAATTCCTTGGTGGGTTATTAGTGTCAGAGACTTCTGCACATGCTGTAAGGATTCTGTGCCACCTTTCTTCCTCTAATCCTGTCTGCAATGCTAATACATCTGGTGGAAGCTGATTACTGTGGTTGCTCTTTCTGCAAACCTGGTTGCCAGTATTTTGGCTTCCTATTGAGGATCCTTAGGCTCCTTGATAACAAGCTGAATTTCCAGGGCCACATTCAAAATATAGCACAAAAAAGTTTCTAAAACTGTTGGCATTCTTTCTAAGATGAGATATTATGTACCTCGCCCTGCTTTGGTGATGCTCTATTACTCTCTCATCTATCCTTATGTCAATTATGGTATTTGTGCTTGGGGTTCTACTACCCAAAATCATTTACGTCCTGTAATTACTCAACACAAATCTGCTATTAGAACAATAACAAACTCTGGCCACAGACAGCACTCTGCACCCTTACTTAAATCCTTGAATATGTTAGATATTAAGTCACTGCACATCCTCTCAACTGTTCTCTATATATTTAAAACTCTGAACTGTAATGTCAATCCTGACCTTAAATGCTTCCCAGAAGGTTGTAACAGAACCCATGGGCACCACACCAGAAACAAATACTATTTGATACTCAAAGAGTGTGCCTTAACCAAACTAGATATGCTCTGTAAATTAAGGGACCAAGAATGTGGAATGACCTCTCCAATCGTGTCAAAGGCTGTACCTCTCTCAACCCGTTAAAGAGAAAAACTAAGTACAGTACTACCTAATAAACACGATTTAATATACCTTTTACCCCCTAAATGTCAACCCATATCCTGATGTTTTCAAACACTGTTGACCAACTTGTATAACTGCTGTTTTCTGCCAAGCACGCACGCTCGCTCCGTTCCCTCTCTCTATCACTTGCCATTCACTAATTAATGTGAAATATTGTACTAAATTTTTTTTTACGGTATACAGTATTTCTATACTTTCTTTACAGTAACTGTTTGGCAAAATTATAATGTAGAAATTCTTTATTTTCCAGTTGAAATATATTGCTACAAGTAAAGATGGTTGTGCGTCAGTATAATGAAGAGCTGAAATTCCTTGAAAAATTGACTCCCAATAGTTGGCGCATCAAGAAGGGTTTCCAGCCAAATATGAATGTAAGTTTTTCTTAATTATTTTAAACGACCCATATATCAAAACCTTCATAGATTTTGTAGGTTTCTGGTTTCATGATGCCTTTTTCTGGCGGGAGCCCCGTCGGCTCCTGGGAGCTATCCAGGCTATCCAGTATATGTATATATTGGTATTAGCTTTCTGGCATCAGTCAATGTACATGGAGTTCTTGCCTACTGGGGACCACAAGCCAGAACCTGGCCCCCTCAGAGAGGCGCGAGGAGCAATGGCCTATAGAAACCCCCCCGTGTGGTTGGAAGCATTGTGTGTCCATCATCGACCGGGTCTGGCACTCGGAAAGGTAGGTGCCCCAAAACAAACCCCCAGTCGGGTGAAAATATTACTACCGAAAGCCGAATGAGTGAACAGAACTCCCCAAATAGAAACTTCCAACTTGCATGATGTTATCACGTTGCCGCGCCACTGTCTGGACAACCCCCCCCCCCACCCCTGGGAGGAGGAAGGGGGAGCCCCAGACCCTTGTCCCAGCGATCCACCCTTCAGTTCTTGGCTGATGTGGTACTGGCATATCGTGTGCCTGTGGTTCTGGAATTTGTTTGTTTCTGTGCCTTGTGGCGTGGACTGTATCTATGGGTGGTGTGCGAGCCGGAAGTAATATTCTTCAGTACTCGGGCTGCATGCGCTTAGGGTTTGCTTCCCTAGGTGCCCTATAAGTACTGCCCTTGGGGCTTGGGGCCACCTTCTACAAGTCAACTTGGGATCTACCTCCGCTGTGTCTTTAACTGCTCGGTACTTGGCTGCCCTTATTGTCAACTGGGGTTTTGGTTTGCCCTTGTTTGCCTCTGGGTAGGAGATAATTTTCGTCACTGGTAAGGGTGCAGGGTATAGCACAGCTAGTCATTACCTCTCATATCGGCTGGCTCTGTTCTGCCTGGGCATGTTGTCCTCTTGCGGGGTTTTCTTTTTGTTTTTGTTTCCTGGTGGGGGGGGGGGTCTGCCTCTTGGTTGGTAGTGCCCTATTGATATTCGGTGGTCCTCCACTAGCCCCCCCGCGAGTGTACACGTTCCGAGGGTGCAGCCTGTAGCAGTTTGGTAGTTTTGGAGTGCAGGTTAGCTGTATCCTGCCTGGGCTTCCCTTAGCGTGTTAACTAGGATAAGGGGCCCTAGGGGAAACCCTGTGGGGGCTCTGTAGTCTGATGCGGCCCTTGAGTCCCCATTCGCTTTCTGCGAGGTTGATGGTGTGCTGTTCCCTTGTCTCAGGGTGACAATCGCCAGTTGTGCCTCCACCATGCTGCCTGTTAGGTTGGTGATTCTTTTGACCCGAAGTCATGCGAAGGTTGTTGTTTGTATGCGCTCCAGTTCACCCAAGCTACTGATCATGATATGGGGGTGCGAGTAGCTGAGGCATTGCATGCTAGGTTAAGGTTGCTGCAACATGATAGGCATACCAGCCTACTTTTCTCGTCCATCGAAAAAATATTTCTATAAATTCCATTTTTTAACCGAAATGGATGGGGATACTCTCAGATTGGCCTTAGCCTTATGACTCAGCCTTATTGGCGTGGAACAACGAGGAATGGCCAACAACAAGAAGCATACCACATGTTCCCGACATAGATGCCAGCGCAGCTCCTCCTGCTGACGCGGCAGTTTCAACACCCGGGCCATCTGGTGCGAGGCGTCCTCTGTTCACCTCAACACCTCAAGCCCACTCATCAACCACAAATTCTGAAATGGACATTGAGGACATAGAACCAATTGATGTTTCTGATTTCATAGAAGATTCTACTACAAGTTTGGTGGTTCCTGTAGAAGACAATATTCCTCCAGTGCATCCAAGAAATACAAGAATTATAGATTCAGAACAACGTCTCAACTACAAGTTGACGCATGAACTCGTGCACTTGGCTAAAAAAAAGATGCCGTGTTTGTTTCAAGTCTGGCAAAAGGAGGGACGTGATATATGGATGTAAAACTTGTGATGTGGCACTGTGCCTTGCTACACAAGGTACCACCGAAGAAAGATATTTTGGGTGGAGAAAAAATAACCACCGGCAACAGCTTCACTCCACCTAAGAAACATCAGATGAGCAACTTCAGGATCAGAAGCCTGAAGATGGTGGAGTGAAGAAAAAATGCTCAACTGTTGATCTTCAATCAACATAGACAGGGTAAGTACACCTATTTGGAATTTTTTATCTATAAGAAGTTATATTATATACGTTTTGTAGAGAATTTATTTGCGAATTTTTTGGGACCAGAATGAATATTATATCACATAAACTTCTATGAGTAAAAAAAAAAAATAAACACAAAGTATGTTTGGGGGTGTGGCAGGTGTGGCTCTGGGTGTGGCGGCCGTGTGGCAGTGGGTTCCCTTTAGCCGTTGATATATCCAACACGTGGGAAATATTTGTATGTGTTATGTATATGTCTGTGTAGGGAATTTTAATGCGATCACCGTCATACAAATTATAATATGTTTCAACAAGTATAAACATGACAAACATCAAACGAACGAAAACAATGCGTTCGTTTCTGCCGCGAACGCATACTGAGCGACGTGGTTCTATATTTGGCGCTTCTCTTACACATGCTTTGTACAAATGTTATACATTTCATCTTACAGAAAATTTTATTGCGAACACATTGGTATAAAAAAGAAATACGTACATAGAAAAGTAGGGTCAGGAAACGTATAAATGTAAACTTTCCAAGCATGATTTCCCCCCTGTGTTTTCGCCAGTGCGCTCGCGGCTAACTACTCTCCACTTCACACACTCTTGCGGGTGGGCAATTACCTATATTAAACATTCATATGCATATGTCCGTGTAGAGAATTTTATTGCGATTCCAATGATACCAAAATTAGCGATGTAGGACAACTGTAGGCTTCACAACCATTAAGAGAGTGGAAACATTTTGTTGCTGTTTGGTGCTCTCGGCGAGTGATCTGCATAGTTTTTTATTTGGTGTTGATACTCCTTATGCTTGGGCGGCATTTTATAGGTATGCTCTTATAGACAATTTCATTGCGAACACAGTGATACCAAATTTAAATACGTGCGCCTTCAATTATTGTCAGGACAGTCAAAAGAGTGTACACTTTTTCGGTCTTACCGCGTAGGCGCGCGAAGTGCCGAAAGCATCTGGGGTATTGATTTTTTTTGAGCGCCGAGAGCGCGAAAGTGTTAAATGCTCGTAAGGTGCGTCGGCCCTTTTGCGGTTCGTCCCGGTGGCGGGTCGATCGGGGGGAGGCTCGCTCTGTTTGCTCGTGCCTGGTCCCATGATTTGTGGGCCTTTCGGGTCGTCTCCTGTGGCCTGCGGTGGTGTTGGGTGGCTGCTGCTCCGTTTGGTGGGTTCGGGGCTGGCGGGGCAGGCCTCTTCTCCTGCGCTGTTGGGTCATATTGGAGTGGGTTCACTTGGGGGTGGTCGAAACGTCCTCGTCCCTTAGGTGGGTTTCCCGCTTGTTTCCAGTCCCGAAACAGGACTGTGTGGACCTCCTGTTCATACTGAACTTGTCCTGTCTGAACCCGTGGGTTTATTGCCCCTCCTTTTGGACGACTACTCTGTCCCAGGTCCGTCTTCTGTTGGAGCTGGACTCTTCAATGATGTCCCTGGACCTCAAGGACGCATATTGGCACATTCTGATTCATCCGAGGTTCAGGAACTGGCTTGAGTTTTGTTGTGAGGCATCAGGATTACCGCTTTCGTTGCCTTCCATTCGGCTTGTATCTGGCGCCTCGCATTTTCACACGCCGTATTTTGTCAGGGGTTTGTGGCCCACCTTCTTCTGTTAGGCCAGAACCCAAACACCTATCTCGATGACTGGCTGGTTTGGCCTCCTAGCCAGTCCTCGTGTCTGCTCGCCAGGGATTTGATTCTTTCCCAGCCTGCCCGGTTTGGGTTCCTGATAAACTGGTGGAAGTCCCATCTGGTTCCCCCTCGGGTTCGGTCTTGGCTGGGTCTTGTGTGGGACACTCGGACCGCTTCCTTGTCTCTTCCTCCCGCTGCTCTTCTTTGGCTGCGTTACTGCCTTTGTCTGTTCCTAAGGGACTCCTGGGTCAAGCGGCAATTGCTCGAGGATTTGTGTGGTAGCCTGAACTTTGCCATGATGGCCGACGAAGTTTCGTCGGCTGTTCTGGTTCCTTCGGGGACATCCCTTCAGCCTCTCACAATGGCTGGCTTTGGCCCCTGGGGGCTTTGCATCGCTTGCTGCATTGCCGGCTTTCTCTTCGGGTTTTTCGAGGTTCATTGCCTTGGCGCCTACCTGAGCCCTCGCTCGATGTGTTCTCGGACGTGTCGTCTCTTGGCTGACGCTTTGTGGAAAGTGCTCACCAAGCCGGCCAGGGACGGTGGGATCTGTCCTTCAGTCAGGCTCACAGCATGGTGCGAGAGTTCGCGGTTGCGTGGGTGTCACTCCAGAGGATTCGTGTCACTCGCGGATCAACGATCTGGCTTCATTCGGACTGTTCCCCGGTGGTTCATTGTCTGAACCTCGGGGGTGCGATGTGGTCCTTGGCATTTTGGGGCTTTATATTGTCAGGCTTTGGTGTAGGCAAATTATTCTGGTCCCTAAACTGCCTTCTCGGCCATGTGGAAGGAGCAACCTTCGAAGCCCAAACACAATGAAACACCAGATCCAGGTCCCCAAAATAGGACCTGGAAAAAGAAACATGGGCAAGATGGAAAACAGGTGGAAAACTCACGAATTGCCCTAATTCTGAATCAAGAAAACACAAGATGGCCAACATGGGCATCCCGTCAACACCACACCATAACATAACAGAACCGTAAAACTGTAGCTGGCTGATTAGCCCATGACACAAATGATACCAGTATATGTAGGGTTGGGTAGGGCCAGAGAGGACTGAGATGGGGAGGAGTGTATAGGAGGAGAGTGGGACACCCCTAAAGGATGGGGACCCCTTCCCAAACTGGATGGAAGCAGAGTCAAAACAGACAGTGAATAATATTTGCAGGCTTCACTGATGCAGAGATTATCCACCCAATTAGATGGCAAAGTAGAGGTAGTAAGAGTGACAATCACTATGCAATAAGGCCAAGGCACATACTTTAAACTTGCAACTTGGAAGGGCAAGCTCAGAAGGCCAGCCAATCGTGGCCCAGGATTCACCAAGCAGTAATGCAAGTTCTTACGAACCTGTACATCTTTTCTCAGTCGTTGGCGATTTTGTTTACATCTATTAAATAGTTTGAGCAGTGAAGTACTAGGAGGCTGTTTATAATAATAACAAAATTTGATTGGAAAGTTTTGGTGCTCGTAAACTGTTTAATAAATGCAAACAAAGCCGCTAAATATTGACTGTACAGGTTCATAAGTACTTGTGTAACTACTCAATGAATCCTGGCCCTGAACTCTACTGAAGACTGCCAGAATCTTGCCAGTTCCCAAAGATAAAAGGTAAGCAGGAACACCGGGTACAACGGGCTACTCACTGAACAGAACAACTAACACTGAATGTGGCTTCCGGATAAATGGGACTGTGAAGGTTGCAAATTTCACTGTGAAACAAACATTCTAACTCCTGTGTGACTCCTCAAGGAAGAATAACCCAGACCACCCCCACCCCTACCCCTGTGCACAGAGCTTCATAGAGGAATCAAAGACCCATGTACTGCCTAGGGTGGGGACCCTCCACAGAAGGAGTTTTTTGGGGATGGCAACCTGAACCCACCAAGGAAGACAACCCTGTCTGATCTAGTGATCTAGTGGCCTGAGTGATCTAGTCTCCTCGGCTCCTTGCATCTATAGAGGGAACATATTTTGGCGTCTGGTCTGCAGTAGGCTCATAATAACTTGCAAGGGTTTGGTATGACTCAAACTGGGAGTAGTTTTCCAGGTGGCCAGCAAGAGGGAGCCACCATAGGAGCCCAGTTTGAAAACCCTTCTTTGAGTTAATTTTTTAATCGAAAATATAGGGCAAGTAACTTGAGAATATGCAAGAATATTGCCCAATTGTTGACTTTTATTTTAAATACTGTAATATATATGTTAATTTTCTATCTTTGCAGGTAGAAGGGATATTTTATGTAAATGACCATCTTGAAAAATTAATGTTTGACGAGTTGAGGAATGCTTGCCGTCCAGGATCAATTGGAGGCTTTTTACCTGGTATGAAGCAGATTGCAAATGTTGCTGCTCTTCCTGGCATTGTTGGAAAATCTGTTGGTTTGCCTGATGTTCACTCAGGATATGGCTTTGCTATTGGTAAGTTTTTAATTATCATTGTTTTTTAATTATCTTGTTAAATATATTGAGAAATGTTTTTTGTTTTTAATGAGTGAATGAGTGAACTTTGCTTCTATGTGACAATTCACAAGACATTACACATCTGGTGTTATGAAGTAGTGGTAGGACGAGCTGCACGAAGTAGTGGTAGGACGAGCTGCACGAAGTAGTGGTAGGACGAGCTGCACGAAGTAGTGGGAGGACGAGCTGCACGAAGTAGTGGGAGGACGAGCTGCACGAAGTAGTGGGAGGACGAGCTACACGAAGTATTTTGGGGAGGGGGGGGGGTTGCTGCACGAAGTATTTTGGGGAGGGGGGGGGTTGCTGCACGAAGTAGTGGGTGATGCATTTTTACCTGATGCATTAATTACCCCCCCCCCCTCAACATCCATGTTTCATCATATTACTTCTTAAATTTGTATATGGAATGGGCTTCAACATTTTCCTAGAGTGCATTCCACATGCCTACCACCCATACAGTGAGTGAGAACTTTCTTTCTACAATTCAGTTGCATGTCCAGTTTCCACTGATGTCCCCTTGTCCTACCTCCTTTTTTTTTCTTTTTTTTTTTTTAGGCTGTCTTTGTCTACTATGTCTTTTCCCCTCAGGATTTTGCTGTGAAATCAGGACCAGATGGATGAATTTGATCCTAACTATTGAGTATGGTTCCTCTTTTGTTTCCTGGATATGGTACAGTACAAGGTCTCAGCTTCATTCTGTGTGGCAGACAACTTCTTATTTTGCAGATGAGGAGTCACAATAACGTGGGAGTAATATGTTGACCAAACCACACACTAGAAAGTGAAGGGACGACGACGTTTCGGTCCGTCCTGGACCATTCTCAAGTCGATTGTGATGAGGAAAGGAGTCGAGGCAATAAATAGGCAAGAGAGAGATGAGGAGAAGAGAATCTTAGAGGAAGAAAAAGCAAGGCAGAAGGTACACAAGGTAAGGTGTAATAAGGGAATAATAATAGGACTAAGAACATAAGAACAAAAGTAACTGCAGAAAGCCTATTGGCCCATATGAGGCAGCTCCTATTTATATTCTGGCAGCTTCTATTAATACTCGTCTCTCTCTCTGGCTTCACTATGCTGATGACATCTTTGCTTTATGGCCTCATGACCTTGGTCTTTTCCAGCCTTTCCTCTCCTCTCGTAACAATCTGGCTCCTTCTATCCATTTCAAAGTTGAATGGGAATCTAATTCCCTCCTTCCTTTTCTTGACGTTCACGTTCACAGCTCTGTGACCGGGTTCTGTCTTTGTCTACCGCAAACCCATGCATAGTGGCATGTACATTCACTTCTTTTCCTACCATCCTCCTGTTAAGAAAAGTGTCCTCGTCTCTCTCTCCCTCTGTGCTCTACGCATCAGTGACCCTCAGTTTCTTGATTCTGAAATCGCCTTTATCTACAAATCATTCTCTCGCCTTGGTTACCCTTTGCATTTTATCAACTGTGCCTATTCTCAAGCTAAACAAAAAAAATTTTCATCCTAAACCTGCTTCCAACACTAGTAGCTAGCACTGTGCTCTGCCTTCCCTTCATATCTGAACTCAAAACTTTTACCAATACCTTTCGTCCTCTTGACATTAAGCTCGCCTTTCGACAAATTAACACACTTCATAGCAATCTAATTCACACTGCCCTGCTTCTAATGCTGCTGGTGTCTACTCTTATTTCATGTTCGTCTTGTCCTCTCCAATACTTTGGTGAAACTGGCCGTACACTTAATGAAAGACTTTAAGAACACAAAAGAAGTGTTAAGTCTGCAGACAAACAATGCTCTCTTCTGTCATCCTAGTGATTCTAATCATTCTATTGATTGGTCTTCCTCCAAAATAATCTTTGTTGCCTCTACTTTACGCAGCTGCCGTCTTGTTGAATCGGCTCTAATACACGAACATGAACTTGAGTCCTGTCTTTGTTGCTGTTTACTCTTTCCTTTCACAGTATATATGCAAATGCTCTAAACTTTCTAACAAATGTGACCTAACATAAGCTTACCCTTCCATTCTCTTTTCTTCTCCTTCCTTCTTTCTTTTTCTTCCCTTGTTTTCTCTTACGATCCCTTACTTTTTACTATCCCCTGCTTATTGGCTTGGTATAAATAGGAGCTGCCTCGTATAGGCTAATAGACCTTCTGCAGTTACCTTTGTTCTTATGTTCTTATTCCTATTACTATCCCTTTTATTACACCTTACTGTGCGTACCTTTTGCCTTGCTTTTTCTTAAGATTCTCTTCTCCTCATCTTTCTCTTGCCTATTTATTGCCTTGACTCCTGTCCTCATCACAATCGACTTGAGAATGGTCCAGGACGGACCGAAATGTCGTCATCCCTTCATTTTCTAGTGTGTGGTTTGGACAACTTCTTATTTTCTTTGGACAAGGGAAAGCTTTTTTGACATACAGGCAGTTGAATGAAAGGAAGCACCCTGGTTTTTAAGGTCTTGCTTTGGGGTTTTTCAGTCTCGGCTGTCAAGGGCTCTATTTGTTCCTGCCTTTTCTACAAAAGGTACATGACATCTCTGCTTTAAAGTGCCCAAGTTGTCTCGAGTATTGATTGTGGTGGACTACAAAACTCATTCACGTGATGGGGTTTTTCTATTCCTGAGAGATGCAAGCGATATTCATTGAGCAGTTACCAGTTGATCTTGATCTGGGGATTCTTGCTCCTTGATCTTGTTGTCTACTGCTGTAGCTGCAGGAGTAGTTCCCAAGCTGCTTGCTTTACTCCATATGGTGTGGTGACAAGTGACACCGTTGGCAGGCATAAGGGACTGTGTCAGCTGTCTGTTTAGGGTTCTCTTCACTTTTAGTCATGGGGTGGTAGTTTTGTTTTTTCTTGGGGGAGCCCCAACGGCTCCCTGGAGCTATCCATGGCTGATATGGATACCCTAACTGCTTTGCATTAGTCGATGTGGGTGGAGTTCTAGGCCTACCGGGAACCACGAGCCAGAACCTGGCCCCCTCGGAGAGGCACGGGGAGCAATGGCCCATAGAATTGCACATGTGATTTGGAGCATTCTATATCTGCCATCGACTGGGACAGGCACCCAGAAAGGTAAGCGCCACAAAACAAACCCTCTATTCTGGTTAACAACAAAATTCGACAAACGAGTGGACAGAACTCCCCAAGAAAAACGAATTAACAAGCATGACGTCACAAGAGCCGCGCTGCATGTCTGCGCAGCTCCCCCCCTCCCCGGGAGGGGGAAGGGGAAGCCCCAGACCCACACGCTGGCGATCCCCGCCCCAGTCCCGAGGCTGGATATCAAAACCGCGAAAAAAACGCCGACCGGAGGGCGGGAGGGTGCCGGGGAGCCTCCGGGACTCGCCCAGAAAATGGCGTTTCATTACATTCAACGCTGGTTTTCTGGGGGGAGCCCCTACGGCTTCCCGGAGCTATTTCACCAAAGACTACCCAAGAAAACAAGGGGACATACCCGGGAGGCGGACAGTGCACCACTCCTCAACACGAAGTCGAGACAAGAACCCAAGGACCCCTTCGGAAAGCAGCAGGCACATCTTTCGCCAGAAAAAGGGAGACAGCTGCAGACGAAGAAACCTATGACCACGACCATAGGAGCAAAAACTACTGCGCTTGAGAAGAGCATGAAGCTCTGCCACATGTGCCAGGCGTTGCTGTGGCTGTGGTCCCGCCTTGGCCTGTTTCTGGGGAGGGGGGGTCCCCGGTCACTCAGCAGTTGCTCAAGCAGTTGTGCGGGAGTTTGAACTTCGCCATGCTGGTCTACTCGCTGGGTCGGGTTTTGCTACGGCGTCTACTCTGGTTCCTTCAGGACTGCCCCTTCCGCTTCTCTTGCGATTGCTGGGTTCATCCTCTGGGGGCCTTGCATCAGTTGCTGCACCGCTGGCTTTCTCTTCGGGGTTTTTCGAGGTTCAGTGCCTTGGCGCCTACCCAAACGCTTGATGTATTCACGGACGCGTCGTCTATCAGCTTGGGCTTTGTGACCAGTGCTCACCAAGCCAGCCAGGGACAGTGGGGTTTATACTTTTGTTGGGCTCGCAGCACAGTGCAGGATTTCGCAGGGGTTTGGCTTTCGCTTCGGAGGGTTCAAGTCACTCTGGGTTCGACCATCTGGCTCCATTCGGACTCCAATGATTCATTACCTGAACCGCAGGGGTTCTCTTCTGTCCTTGCCTCTTTGGGGATGGTCACTTCGAATGGCTCGTCTGCTGACTTCTCAGGGTTTGGCTCTTAGTGGGTTTCATATCCAGGGAGTGTCCAACGTCCTGACGGATGGCCTGTCTCGGTTCATTCCTCTGTCCACGGAATGGACGATCTACGCCGACAACATTTTTTGGCTCTGCCAGACATACGATCGATTTCAGCGTCTCCCGATCTATGTGGCACCCTTCCCCGACTGCAAGGCTGTCGTGGTAGATGCCTTTTGGTAGGACTGGTCGAAGTGGGATTACCTGTACATACATGTGCAACCCCCTACCACCTCCCCTGGGAGGGGGGAAGGGGAAGCCACAGACCCCCCACACCGCCGATTCAACTTGGCTGATGTGATACTGGCTGGTCAGGTGCCTCTGGCTCCGGTTTTTTCAGTTACTGTGCCTTGTGGCATGGTCTGTCTCTACAGGTAGTGTGTCAGCCAGATGTAATATTCAACAGTACTCGGGCTGCATGTGCCTAGGGTTTCCTTCCCTAAGTGCCCAGTGAGTACTGCCCTTGGGGCTCAGGGGCCTCCTTCCACAAGTCACCTTGGGATCTACCTCCGCTGTCTTTTTTCCTGCTCGGTACTTGGCCGCCCTTAATCAGCTGGGGTCGTGTTGCCCTTGTTTGTCTCTGGGTAGGAGGTAGTTTTTGTCACTGGTAGGGGCACAGGGTACTGCACAGTTAGTTTTCACCTATTTTCTCACCCAGAAAATGGAGTTTCGTTACATTCAGCGCTGGTTTTTTGCAGTGGGTGCATTTTGCCAGACAGTTATCAGTGATCTTGTATGCAC